CGCTTTCCATTTTTTGTGCTTGTTACTCTTATGTAACCTCTAACCTTCGGCACTTATGTGACCCAATTGTGTTGACAGTGCCATAAAACTCTTATTTAATACTAAAACAAAACTCACTCTCTCCCTCTCTTGCTCACTTACTCACTCATTCATTCACTCACTCACGCAATGCATTCGTTCACTCACACCCTCACTCAATCACCTACTCACTCACTCACTCACTCACTCACTCACTCACTCACTCATCCTCCTCTCCACCAGGATGTCTTGGAAAACGAAGAGATCAAGCTAGACTGGATGTTCCGATACTCTATCATGCAGGATATCGTCCGGGTAAGGAATAAAATACCACCCCTCTCTTACAACTGATACACATTAGACGGGCCGACGGGGCTCTCGTGGTTTAGAGTTGAAGGTGTTCGCCTCTCATTTAAAGGTCCCGTGTTCGAATCCAGGAAGTGACGGAAAACAAATTTTTCTCTAAAATTGTCTTCCTTTCCTGCTCTTTAGCAATATTCTGTGTTCTGCTTTCGTCTCCACTTTCTGCCGCTACCCCGTCACCTCCTTTGCCCCCTCCTCGTGGTTCCTGACTCTTTCTGCAGCCTTTATGCTGCTACTCCTCTGCTCCTTCTTACTGCTGTCTTTCAGCCGCACCCCTGATCTTATGGTTGGAAAGATCTACACCTAGCTTTCTCGGACAAGGGCGAAAAACCTCGGCCATTTATTACAGTTTATGGTCGTTAAATGTCGTCATACACTCTGTCATATTTTATCGAGTCCATTCCTTTTTGTAATCGGATCATATTATGAGTTGTCCCTCTTGAACTCTGTTAGAAAAGGGTAATGATGCTCAGTAAAGGAAGTAACGAGATACATTATGGGTTTATAGTGTCATCTTTGCTGTTTTGTTAATGCTTTTTTCTTTATCGAATAAAAAGATCATCTTACTAAACTACCTTAAGGCAATCATTCCTTTAGCTAGAAAGGTTTGCTAGTCTTAATGTGTCACAAAGCAGTGGAATCGGGTTCTCGACAATTTTGGGGCATGTGTAGTTATTGGTATCATCTGAAAACTGATTTATTTGCTTTCTATGAGAAAATATTGACCTATCTTGAGAAAACGTCGAGATGTCTGCAATTGGAGCACGTGGGGGGTTGCCTCGTTTCAGAGATCGTGAAAATGGCAGCCAAGGGTTGGTGATTTCCAAAGTTTGAGAGTCTTTGTAAACTGAAAATTTATATTTTTTTGCCTTTAATTAGCGTTTTTTCTGTAAAGTTGGCACTGAATGTGGTTTTGTTTTAAAATGTATTGAACCACCCAAAAAATTAAAATGTGATAAAAATTGCCCAACCGGCGGAAAAATGTCTTCTTAGCTTTAGTGCCGGGCGGCGAGGTTCCCGATTATTGAAAACTAGGAATCGTAGGAATCGACTCCGAACCCAATTACTTACTTTCTAATGATGTGATTTGTTTTCCGGTGGTTACCTGGTTGGTGCCGAACATCTTCAGGATTTAGGATAACCTTGATTTCGGAACACTACGAAGCATCAACTTCTTTTTTTTTAAATAAATACTTTTTCAAAAAGAAGATTTTAATGATAAAAATAACTGGCAACCGTTGGTCTACGTAAAAAGGAGACGGACCTTAACTTCCTTAGTATTAATCGCGGGAATCGGTTCCAGAATCGAACTCTTCGCCCAGCTCTACTTAGCTTACAATATTTTGACGAGCGCCTGATTTCACTATTTTGACGAGTGCCTGATTTCACTATTTTGACGAGTGCCTGATTTCACTATTTTGACGAGTGCCTGATTTCACTATTTTGACGAGCGCCTGATTTCACTATTTTGACGAGCGCCTGATTTCACTATTTTGACGAGCGCCTGATTTCACCACGACGCCTCGCTTTTGTTCATTGTTATTCCACTGTTCTGCGTCGCGCACAGGGAATGACGTACCTGCACAGCAGCGAGGTCAAGTCTCACGGCAACCTGAAGAGCACCAACTGTGTGGTGGACAGCCGCTTTGTGGTCAAGATCACGGACTTTGGGCTGCACCACCTGCGGAGGCCAGAGGACGAGGCGGCGGAGGAGAGCTTTGCGTCTTTCCAGCGTGAGTGCTGTAGCTCTCCGGGCTTGGTGGGTCTGGATAGCAAGATGGACAAAACACGACAAATTAATTGTATCGATCTTCAAGAAGAAAACGAACTGATAGTGATAAATAACATTTATGTTGCGCATTTCCATTTTCTAAAAAATGCAAAAAAAACACAGTACATAAAAAAGACATCACGTCTTAAAAATTAATCGACAGGTGTGTACATTACACATTATCATTTCTTTTTCTCCTGTCGTTATCTTTTTGATGGGGCAGTGGGGCTTGGCATAACAATGACAACACATCATATTATCATCTCTCTCTCTCTCTCTCTCTCTCTCTCTCTCTCTCTCTCTCTCTCTCTCTTCTTGTCATCTAGTTGAAGGGGCAGTGGGGCTTGACATAACAATGACAACAACACCTCATATTATCATCTCTTTATCTCTTGTCATGTAGTTGATGGGGCATTCATCTTTCGTCCTTATCTCCCCTTCTTCTGTTTTATGTTTGTTTCTCTCTTGTAACACCTCTAGTCGTCTGGCCCTCATATGACCTTATGCAGTTGCGAGCCCCGTAAAGCTTCAACTAAAACTAAACGAAAACTAAGATGGAGCAGTGGGGCTTGACATAACAATGATAACACATCATATTATCATCTCTTTCTCTCCTGTCCACCCCCCCCCCTTTCTCTCTCTTTCTCTCTCTCTCTCTCTCTCTCTCTCTCTTTCTTTCTCCCCCCCCCCTTTCTCTCTCTTTACAGGCATGTTGTGGACGGCCCCGGAGCTCCTCCGAATGACTAACCGGCCCCGGGAGGGCACACAGAAGGGAGACGTGTACAGCTTCGCCATCATCTGCCAGGAGATCGTCTACAGGAACGGCGTGTTCCACCTGCAGAATCTGGACGTCAGTCCTCAAGGTCAGTACTAAGGCGTACCTTGGGCTGGGGACTGGTACCTGGGAGTACTGCTGGGTTGCGTCAGTATCTGGTGTGATACGTACATTTTGTCAGCTTTACTTCTCTTTTCATATTGAAATTTAATGAGAGTAATATATAATTTAATTTTTTTAATGTTTACCTGCATAATTTCCCTTGGGGATAATAAAGTATTATCTTATCTTATCTTATCTTATCTTATCTTATCTGGGGGTACTTGTTTGGTTGATTGGTTGGTTGGTTTGTTGGTTTTGTTTGTTTGTTTGTTTATTTGGGTTTTTTGTGGGGGCCAGGCTGGAGCTGAGACTTTGCTGGGTTGGTTTGGTTTGTGTTTTTTGTTAATTTTAGGTTGCGGGAGGGGGGGGTGGTATACTCTACTTTTTATCATGCTGTCTGGGGTGGCTAGAATTATAATATCGCTTTTGTTGTTGCAGTAAGTGATAATGTTATCATAGAGCGTGCTGTGTTGCTGTTATCGTTGTTGCAGTAAGTGATAATGTTATCATAGAGCGTGCTGTGTTGCTGTTATTGTTGTTGCAGTAAGTGATAATATTATCATAGAGCGTGCTGTGTTGCTGTTGCTGTTGTTGCTGCTCCTGCAGCTGTTGTTGCTGCTGTCGTCGTTCTTGTCGTTGGTGTTGCGATGTTGTTAAGGGCTGCCAGTGCCGGTGGTGGTGGTTGGTTACCGTTGAGTTGAGAGATCGATTTCCTTGCGGATTGCGCTGTTCCGTTCTGTAACAACATCAGCGCGTGTCTAGTTAACTGTTAACTAAGTTTCCGTTATTGAGGCTACTAGGGCTAGAATAATTAGCTTGTTTTGTTTTGGGGTTGTTAGGTAAAAACAAAAACAAAAGGTTGACCTACTCAGTTGCTGTTGATTTCGTTTTATTTTTTCTTCTTTGTTTTATTATGGATTTAATTTTTATGTTCTTTATTTTTCGTAAGTTGAAGTGGGTGGATGGGGGGGGG